TGTCAACATCCATTGGCCACAGAAGACATGGCGGTAAATGCTATCCCTTTGCTGTGTTACGCCCTTCAGTCACCTATTAAAAAGTTTACTTAATTAATCTACATGTTGATCCAACCTTGCCCGGCGTAATCCTGAAAGGGCTAATCCTTTAAATTTATATTGACCATCTCATCCAGTAAACCACACTCTGAAAACAGAACACTGACAATACTATATTCAAATTATTATATCAGGATTCTGAGCGATTCCTCACGGGACTAATGGCTTCTTTGTGGCAATCAAGCTCATGCGTTCCATGCTAAAAAAGATCCAGAACTCTTTGTTTTCCCCTTACTGCTGCTTCATACTTTAGTGCCATCGTCTTTATTTTATTTCCATATTTCATTCCTACAATCATCACAGGTTACTTAGCTTATGACACAAATTTCAACATACATAACGATAATTCTCATGCCGCAGCTCGCTAAAATAGTTACGGAATAGAGGTGTTAGAACAAATATACGATGCTACCTAATTATGTTGAGCTCATTATCTATATATAAATGTCTTAACCATTTTTGGGCAATGTTGTGTTAATCTTTTCCTTTTGCTTCATATGAAACTCAGGTACATAGCAAAGTGCGTCATGTCTTACTTTATGGTCAGACTCTCTCTCTCCCCCCCCCACCCCAAAAAAAAAAATGGTGCCTTCTGTTTACCTTTAGTTTGTTATAAATAAACTGTTGTATTCTTCATCTAACATTTACCTGGATGTTCTTTTTTTCTGAAGTACTACTATCACATTTCTCATTTGTATTGATGGATGTCCTGCCAGTAGTCCCAATTTCTAATTAATTGTTGATTCTACAGCAAAATGTTATATGATGCCTTTTTGTTACTTTCACTTGCTAACCATTGAATCGGTACACACCTCATCATTTATTATACAAATTTTATTTCGAAAGCCTTAGAAGATTGTCAAAATGAGCAATAATAAGGCAATTTAGCCACTCTACAAAGAGTGGTATATTTTCTATGTGCATTTTTTTCCTTGCTGATTTGGCTGAACTGCTGTGATGACCCTTGCATAGCAGCTGGACGTTTCTGCAAAACAAGGCAATCTGATCTGGCGATCCCTCATCCGGTTCAATTTAGTTAATTTAGGTAAATATAATCTTTATTTACTGTGCTACTCCACATCATCGTGCAGTTTACTGTTAAACCATGAAGCATTTGTCATTTGTAGTTGTTTCCTCACCTCACAATACATCCTGGGCAACATAACTCGGAAATGTTGTGCACCAAGCTAAGACTATCTACTTTTAACTCATTTACAGGTAACCTTCCAAGAATATATTGTTGTTTTGCACACTTAAATCTGCTCTTTTTTCACATAACAGGCCTTCATGCCATGATGGGTGACCACACCTTAAATATTATTTCGTTTTTGGTTGCTAAACCATTGGCATCAAAGCTGAAGAATAGACTAACCAGCGAGCTAACAACTTTTTTCATTGTGTTCCCCTTACTAATGGGCTACTTCAACTGCCCCTTGATGAAATGACCAGACACCAAGTTGATAGGCGCTAGCCTGAAATAATCTCTACTCAGGACTAATTACTTCAATTAGACTTCTGTGCATGTGTCAAACATTGGGCTTTCACAGAAGTCTATTTTTCATTCATTCTTCTGTATATTATGCTTACAACAGCCATGTAACTTACGCTTTTATGATACTTCGGTATCTTAATCAACAACTACGATATACATACATGTAATGATATTAGCCCATTGCTTTTCTTGCCCGCGCGGGGGTACTGTCTAGTTATAAATTAAAGTCATGTCAATGATAGAATGGGATAGATCAAACCATGAAACATTTACCATCGTGCAAAGTAACCCATAGCCCGGTGATGAAATACACGTTTAGGAGCATGAAATCTTTGGCACACAATACCCATGAGAAGAGTGAACATATAAGGCCCCCTTCAAGATTTCTCTTGAATAGCTATTCCAAAAATATCACTTTATTACATCTCGAGGTTTGTTGCCACCTAGGTATTACGGTCATTCTCCCGAAGTGTAATGCAAAATTACATACATGAAATAAAATACTAAAAAAGGGAAACTCTGGCAGACTTTAAAACTTGGTGAGGAATTTTTTTTTCCCAAGCCCTGTTGGTTTCGCTGAAATTTAGCTGATGTCGATTTCTCATGAGAGACAACACTGTTCTTTGCTGAAAAGTAAACAGGGCGAATAGCAACAACGGATCTGGGCCTTGGCCCGTCTCGTTCATGGGCCCATTCTGCCATTACTGGATAAACGCTGTGCTCCGACTGCCAAGGCAAGGCACACGTACAGAGTTTGCCAAGCAAGACGACTCAAGAATTCAAGCATCAGACATCGCAAAAAAAAAAAAAAAACTCGATCCTCTGTTGCTAGATAGCGCCCTAGTATTCCGGTTTAAGAGAAGATATTCTCACGCAGATCAAGAAAACCTCTCGAACTCCTACCCCACCCATACACAGTGATACCATAGCTCCATGAGATGAACTAACCATAGACCCGTGTGTGCTTTGGATGTGGAGCAGACAAGGGAGTTCCCCCTAGTCATTGCGGCCGAAGCCACAAATAAAGAGTGAGCCCCTTGAAACTCGAATTCTGACCACCTAGGGAGGAGGTATTGAGTCTGCACTGACCACTCGGTCCCATGCATCGCACAAGAACATGAGATGGAGGGAAAACCTGCAAAAGTGTTTAATCCAGTCATCTGGCGATGTGTTAATGTTTACAAGATACTGTACAACAGATACAACATGGATAGGCTTACAGACTTGCACAAAATTTCCCTTGCCAGTTACCCACTGCAAACTTATCGTACTATCAAAACTGGTGATCAGATTATCAAAATCCGGATGTTGTAAAGGACCAAAATCTAACAACCAAATCCAAACAAGTTACCAGCGGCCGGTCAGCTACAAACTCATAGTACTATCAAAACTGGTGATCAGATTATCAGAAATTTAATAAGCGAACATGCCCCCGCCCTTGCGTGTTTTGCTGGACGGAAGCCTGCAACACCTGTTTTAGCCTGAGGTGTCGCCTGTTTCAAGAGTTTATAGCAGTCACAAAAGCTGTCAGGTACATCTCAGAGCCTGAATACATGTCAGAAACCAATCCATCTCAGGACCCATCCATGATAATGTATTCCAGGTCAGAAAAATTGAATATGTCAATTTCTGATAGCATTTGGCTACAGTCATCAGAAAAATCTTCAAGAAATTCGTTGAAGATTGAGGTACATCCAGACTGGTTGCCTCCATTCAGACTTGATCACACATCTTTTAAATCTTGCCACATGGGTCCTCTGTTTCCCTCCTGTCTTCAGTCACATACTGACATTCAAGTGCTATTATCAAGCACATCTATATCTGATCTGATTCCCCATTGGTTTCCTACTAGCTTTTTGAATGCTAAGGATTTGGATATTTCGAACAACAGAATCAATGGTACATTGCCAACAAACTTGAAGAATGGATAGAAACTGAAATGTGCAAGTATAGAAGCCAAGGACCCACTACATGATTAGGAAGAGCACCTGTACAACCAAAATGGATAAAAACCGAGTGAGATAGGTAGGAAGTACAGAGGCTGATATGCATTCATATATGCTTATGTAAATCTGTTGAGCTCATTTCTTGTTCACTGGTTCTTAGCTATTACTAATTCACTTTGAATCATGCATATAGTTATTCTAAGACTTTAATAACTGAGGTGTACAGAGTGAATATGGACATAGACATGGTTAACATACTGATTTCCCATGTAAAAACTCTGTACATGTTCAGTGAATTAAAAGTTTCGAAATACCTTTGTTTCTAATAACTAAGCAATAAATGCTTAATGATCCTCTAATTTCAGTTAATGGTAGCGCCATTCATTGACAAACTTCCTTTCATACTCTACTGACATATGTGGTTAGCATTTTGCAAAATACTTTCATACTCTACTGACATGCTCTGCTTCTGATGTACAGAAATTGTAGCCTTCTGTATATTTAATAAAAAATATAGTAATGGTACCACCATATTTTTATCTGTGCTACTACTAATTGTGCAGAAGACAAGGAAGGTGCCCGCTAACAAGAACCGATCATGATGGAAGCTTCAGAGTAGGCAAGCCGGCAAACTTGTGCTAACTGTCAACAACCCAGCATCCAAGAAGAAGCTCCTTTATATATCAAAGGTGAAGAAAACTAGCGAGTGAGAGGTCATCGCTAGTCGCCTGGGTCCTACAGTTAAATGATCTACTATAGTTCAATCTCAGCGTGATAGAAGAGAGAAGAAACCTTTTGGTTTAATTCATTAATTTATTGGGTTTTGGTTCAAAGTCTATATTTTGTTTGGTTAAACTAAAGTGGTCTTGTTTTGGTGATACTAGATGGGAGAAGTATAGTGACACTGTGACGGATAGTTGTTGAGGAGGGCAGGGGAGACAAAATTTTGGGAGGAAAAACTGTTGAATGTCTCCTCCTCTGTAGATGTCTATACATTGCATCTTTGGTAGGAGTACTTGTCACATCATTATTCAATCCATGTTACTCTGCATGCTCCTCTTTCTCTTCGTGTCCTTTCCCCTGTTAAATTGAACGTTGTCTGCAGTCCATGGATATCAGGATCTGCTTGCTCTCACCATTTATATGCTCATTTCCAGCAATGAGAGGGATGATGTCCCCAGAACCGGTTGCAGAGATACAAATGGCCAAGTCATGGGCTCACAGAAAAGATTTTGATCATGTTCTCTATTGCTGCACTGGGGTGGCATTTCACTAGGAGTCTGGGAGATGAATGATGTTGACAATATTCAACTACAGCACGCAGATGATTTCATTTGAAGAAAAAACAAATGCAATGAATCTTGCCAGAGAAAGTGAAGGTGTACCTCACATTGCCTTATCTATGCTGAAGTAAGCCACCTCAGAATATTTGTCATGACATAGTTGAGACTTTAACCACACAATCATGCTTTGGTGTCAAAGTACTGAAGACGATGCCTGCAAATTTGGTAGAATTTATGTAGGATGCACATGGATGTTTAACTTCATTCAAATCAAGCAAAAAACAACTAATATAAATAGTAACCCTGAAACAGAAAAGGTCCCGCATGGGATGCAACATTGTTCAGTTCAATTCCATCAGGTCATGCCTTCAGCTAGCACAAGGCACGATTCTCATGTACCACAGTGATGATTATCTTGGTCTAGCTGCTATACATCATCTACCCTGGTATCAACATTTCTTGAGAGACTTGCTCAACTACAGTGGCATGGCTTTAAGAAGTAAACACCTAGTGCAGTAGTGCTTACATAATACTATAAAGCTAGCATGATACAGCAGAAGGTCAAAAGAGAAGTACCTTGTCCACTGTTTCTCTAGTGTGTCTGCTTTTGGGTCTGGTCCAGGTCCAGCTATAATGCATCCATCAAATCGAGTTAATCAGCAAAGATGTGTTCCGCAGCACCGGCACAGCAACGAGCTTAGAAGCAACTAAACAAGCTCAGGCCTTTGAGCTCTAATGACATGAGTAAAATGTCCTAGAGGCTGAAACTCTCAAGAAACTCAGTCAGTTGTTACTTGTTCTTTGATTTAAGCATACTTATCAGCCTGTCAGAAACATCTCTGTCGAGAATTATGCCATTCTCCATCATATATTCCCATACCTCATAAGCCAGTGTAGCTTTCCCCTCCTCTAGGAGGCCACTGATCAAATACCTAAATGTCAAGCTATCAGGTTCTACCCCTCTAGCCCTCATATCCCTGAACAGATCAACAGCTTCAATTGCCCTTGAGCTTTTCCCGAGCCAATATATGAGCGTGTTAAAAGTAATAATATCTGGCGACACTTCCTTCTGAATCATCTGCAAGAAAATTTTCTGAGCCTGTTCAAACTGACCAGCTTTACATAGGTTATGGAGCATAATATTATACAGATTAACATTTGGAACAACTTGAGCTTTCAGCATCTGCTCAAAAATTTCTTCAGCTAGGTTGTAGTATCCTACACCGTAGAGACCATTAATTAGAGTTCCATATGTCACTGCATCTGCTTGTATTCCCTTATAACCCATTTCTTTGAACAGCTTCAATGCAGAAGTTACTTTCTTTGCCTTGCAAAATGCGTCAATCAGTATGTTACAAGATACAATATCACAGAACCCACCAACCTCCATATGATCTGAAACAAAACCAAATGCCCTGTCCAATTGATGAGCTTTGCACAATCCTTTTAACATTTGATTATAGCTGTACCGATCAGGATTTACTACCCCACTCATTTCCATCTCCTCGATCAACTTTTCAGCTTCCTTTATCATACCTGCATCGCAGTAATAGTTCAAACGGATATTATATGTGACAACATCTGGCTCACACCCATTTGTCCGCATGAAGGATATGATTTTGAAGGCTTTATTAATGCTTCCGGATCTCAAGAAGCCACTTATCAGGGCATTGTAAATACAGACATTGAGTTCTAAATTAAGACTCAGCATCCTCAATGCCAGCTCAAAAGCCTCGTCAACCTTATCACTCTTGCACAACCCAAATATCAATACTCCACAGGCAATGATATCAGGTTTAAGGCCCCTCCTCACCATTTCTTCCCAAAGCTCGACCGCTTCTGCAAACTGCTTATTATCACATAAACATCCAACCACTGTTGTGTAAGTGACAACATCTGGACTGGTTCCTCTCATCTCCATATTATCAAGCATCTTCAAAGCATCATGCAACCTATTTTGCTTACATAAATAGTCAACATATATGTTACATGCCCAAATATCTGGAAAACACCCAAACTTGTCCATATCAGCCAGGAGTCTCTCTACGAGCTCAATCCTGTCTGATTGGCACAGTGCAGATATCCACCTCGAATAAGTGAATGAAGTCAAGCAAAAACCTTTATCAAGTGCCACGCCATAATACTTCTCAACCAAATCAAAGCAGCAATTCTTAACTAGCACACCAATGAACCTGTTGTAGTCCACACCAAACTCACGGCATCCAGACGTAACCATCTCATCAAATGTCTGGATCACGGAATCGAACTTGCCTGCCCTGACATAGCCCGACAAGAGGATCCGATAGAGAGAGCGATGCAATGCCACTCCCTGACTCCTCACTCTCTCAAGGAACTCCGACAGCAGGAAAAAGTTGCTGTCTATAAACAGCAGGCTGACAATGTAGGCTATCGCGAACTGGGTGTGATCAAACCCAGGCCTGGACTCTGCCCACCAGTAGAACCGCACTGCCGTCTCTGAGTCCGACACGCTCCGGAGCACCCGGTTGACAACAAAGGGGTCCAGGTCGACTTGGAGCCTCTCCAGCTCCAGCGAATCCGACGACCGCCCCCGTTCCAGAGCTCGCCCAATAACGCCAGCGACGTGCACCCGGGCCGGCCAAAACAGCTCGGACAGCCGGCCAGATGTCCCTGGAGTGGCATTGTCGCCGCCGCCGCCGCCTCCTCCACTGTAGCACACCCTCCTTGTACACCAAACGATCCAGGGAACAGCGTGGATGGGAAGGATGTAGAACCTGGTAATCTGAGACGACCAGAGCGGTCGTTTGGCCAAGAACATAACAGATCCCTCTCAGGAGGGGAGTTACGTAGAACACCTGGCCGGCGAGCTTAGCACCGGGCATAGGAAACTCTGTCGAACCCCCAATATTTTTGAGAGAGAAGCTTCTCGCGTGCCTCGGATTGTAACTCCAGTGGCTTCATCCCCGCGCGACGGAGAAGCAACAGCAGAGGACGGAGCCCACTAGAATCGAGCTGGAAGAGGAGGGGAGGACGGCTGCTGAATCGAACAGGAGCAGGAGCCCGGAGGGGGAGGAGGAGGAAGCCGACAGTCGGCCACGGGGAAGGATGTGGGCGGCGCTGGGATGGGTACGGTGGAGCGGAGCAGCGGCGGAGCCAGGATTTCCCCCGGCTGGGTATTCCAGGTACGAAAAATTTCCAATGCATATAAGCAATAGTAAGGGACAAAACCAGTATAAAATGGATCCTGATACACAGCTCAAGTGGTATATAAAAAATTTTAGAATATATGTTAAATAAAATATATTTTTACCTCGTTAACCAGGCATCCGGCAAAGTGAACCTAAACGTTACAAGAACCAAATGTGACATTTCTTTCAGAAAAAAAACACAATGCAATAAAAAAATAGAAAACGAAACCTTCAATTCTTACTATAAAGAATCAAGAATGGATCTGTGGTCGTTTGTTTTCGCCTTGCTATTGCTTCAAGCCAGAGATGAGAAAGGTGCCGAGGGGGAGGGCCGGACGCCCGAACGCCGAAGCCGAGGGGGAGCCTGCAAAGACCCCTGACCGCCGCCGCCGCCAGAGGAGTGCCGGGCGCAAGGCGCTACCGTGTTGGTTGTCAAGGCCCGACTACCGGAGGGCCGAGGGACGAGAGGGCGACCGGGCAAGGGCTGAAGGGCCGAGGGAGAGAGCCGACCTGCCGTGCCGTTGTGGCGCCGCCCGCCAGTGCAGCTACCGCCCTCCGGTCGATGAGAACGACGGACGGGAGTAAGAGACAGGACGTGAATACGGTCAATAGGTTTCTGTCTTTCTAAGTTCGTGGGCTGCTGCTACTAGCTGTTCTTCTGGGCTTTTAGGCTGTATATTTGAAACCTTCAACAAACTAACATGCTGTATCATTACAAATGTATACGTATATTTGTGTTTGTCACGAAAAAAAATATGGCTATTCCATGGAATACAGGGGCAGCGCCGCCCATGGAGCGGAGGTCGGTCAGACGGCGCCAGAGGGGGTGCTGCCGCTCTGCAGTCTGCTCTAGTGGACTGGACTGGCGGTAGCGGCGGCGGCCGAGATAGGGAATAGGGCCCGCGGCGGGAGATATGCTGGCGGACGGATGGACGGGTTGGCTGCCGACTGCCGCGCGGCCGGTGCGAGCGAAGGGGAGAGAGCGGCCGTGCCGACTCCGTGAGCGAGCAAGCCGGGAATCCTATAGCGCGACGCCGCGACTGGCAAGTTCTCCCGCAGGAGCAGCCTAGCAGGACGACGTGCAAGTTCTGCTGGCGGCGCGGCCAATGCGCTGTCCTGCGGGCCGCCCATACGCCGAGACGAGGAGCTTCGAGGTTTAGTGTTGGGCTTCGTTGGGCTGGAGAAACAAACACTTGTCATTGGGCTGCATTGACGGTCCACCTCAGATATACTAACTTGGCTAACGGGCTAAATTTTCCTGTGAGATCAGATTTCATTTCAACATCTACGTAGTTTGGGCTGTCAACCTAGACCCTGTTTGAATCTTCCCAAAAAAAATGAGGTGACACAAATGAGGATAAGATCCAAACATTTGGATTATCTATCTACTCCAAACTTACTATTTGAAGTTTTTCAATATGCAAAGATAATAATAGTCACTATAAGAATAAGATCCAAACACTACTCATTTTTTTTATCTAGAATTCATATTCTCTATTCAGCATCTAGAATCCAGGTTCTCACTATAAGAATGAGATCCAAACAGACTTTTAGATTAAATGTTAGAGTATCTACTAGCAAATACACATAAAAAGGAGATCATATAAGATTAAAATAATTGCAATCTAGGCACCATAAGATTGAGCAAACGAGCCAAACTTTTGTGTTAAATCAGATTATAGATGTCGACAAAGTCAAATGAACTTCTACATAGTTTGGGCGTCAACTTAGACTAATTAAGTAATTATAATAGATAGTGAGATCATATAATAGTAAATAAACACCAAAAGGAGACCATATAAGATTCAAATAATTCCAATCTAGGCAAGTAAGACTGTAGGAGTCGGTGTTGGGTCAAATAGCAGCACCGCAAGTAGACTGGTAGCTCCAGCTCCGCTAAGTAAGAAGTGTTTGTTATTAAGCCATTGCAAATTTGTGGTTTAATTACTTGTTAGTCAATTAAATATATAGAGATTGATTAATGACTAGTTAATTCGATTCAATGATAATGTAGATTTGAAAACCTTCTTTAGTACTTGTAGAAATTCAGCAGGTGGTAGTAACTCAGGCCCAAGCACTCGAGAGAAGCTAGGGGATTTAAAGCTAGATCTACTTGAAACAGTACAAGGTGTCGAACATCAAGAACCGTAATCACATGAGCATGATGTCTAAGGAATTAATGGTTTCTAACCCAGATGTTCACTTGTTTTTGATTTATATGCCTTCATGCATGTAGCAATGGAGCAATTCCATCCGGACGCTAGTGATGACGTTAGGAGGGCTTATTTGGTAAAGGGTCCAACTAAACCTTTTGGTAATAACTTTCCTTGCAATTCTTTTATGATTAATGTCATTTTCTAATTGATTTGTCTTTTAGATCGACATGTTTCGTACTACAGTTCTCTTTTGAAACATGTATTATGTTGATTCCTCTTTTCAAAAGGTAACATTACTATTCTTTTTTTAGAGAAACTAGGGGGGAGGGGGGAGAAGATCCCTACCTGGATATATTATCTCATAAAAGTTCATTTGGAGAGGGATTGAGGGAGCACATGGTAACATTTTGATTCTTGTTTTCCGTTCTATAACTTTTGTTCATGATAGCAAATTTTGTGGTACGAGACATACACATTTTGTTCCTGCTATGGGAAGAGAGACTTATAGAAAAGACGGAAGAAGAATGTCTATTTATTTTAATATTAGGTATATCATGGTTAAAGTTAAAAAACAGCTGATGACCTAAGACAAATCTATATGAACTTATATTTGTTATCGGAAGGTCTCTCTCTCTCTCTCTCTCTCTCTCTCTCTCTCTCTCTCTCTCTTGGAGTGACTAGGAGACAACCATTATTGTTACCCTGTTATAAGTTGCTCTAACATCACATTATTGGCAGTGGGAAAATGGTTTCGATCCTCCCATGCATGCATGTAAAAGGAAGACACTATATGTGGTATGAAACGGTTCTGGGAAGCCTGATGCTTCCCGCGTCGTGCAGCGTGGTAATAGGATCGAATTCAAACGTGTAGAGAGGAGTTAAGCTGCCGACCATATGGGCTGCCCAATGCAAGTCCCACACTCTGAAAGTGCCATCCACTATATATTCTCCCGGCCCACTGATGCCTAGCTACCAAACTATAGCCTTGACCTATATCTAGCGGTCCATATCGAGTCATATGCCTATTAGAGGCATGGAAGTTAGCAAAGCTAAAATGCTCTAAACTTCTGCTAGTAGCTAGCGAGCTAGCTGGTCAACTGGTGGTTGTCCCTTTCCGGCCATGGATTTCTCTGATGCCTCTGCACAGTCTGCAATAATTCTGCATTCTTCTCTTCTCATGTAGAATCGATCGCCGATCGGATCATGTAGCTAAGGCCGAGGTTGCATGCATGCATGCATGGTTTATTATGTGGTGGACATCCCCACCAGTCTCCCGGTGTCCCTCCTGCGTGACATACATGCATGCATCATCGTGTCCAGTCCAATCGATACCAGCGTAGGATGGAGATGCATGACTACACGCATGCATGCGGTGAGATCCACTCAGCTGCCGCCCGGCCGGCCGGTCGGCGGCGTCAACCCTTGTTGTAATCCTAGAGTCCGGTTCAGCCAGCCAACGGAATGTTACTGCACGCCGCATGTTTATAGTAAAGCTCTTTTCTAGCCGTGTCCATATCGAGTCATATGCCTATTAAAGGCATGGAAGTTAGCAAAGCTAAAATGCTCTAAACTTCTGCTAGTAGCTAGCTAGCGAGCTTGTTGGTCATCTGGTGGTTGTCCCTTTCCGGCCATGCATGGATTTCTCTGATGCCTCTGCACAGTCTGCAATTCTGCATACTTCTCTTCTCATGTAGAATCGATCGCCGATCGGATCATGTAGCTAAGGCCGAGGTTGCATGCATGGTTTATTATGTGGTGGACGTCCCCACCAGTCTCCCGGTGTCCCTCCTGCGTGACATACATGCATGCATCATCGTGTCCAGTCGAATCGATACCAGCGTAGCGATGGAGATGCATGACTACACGCATGCATGCGGTGAGATCCACTCAGCTGCCGCCCGGCCGGCCGGTCGGCGGCGTCAACCCTTGTTGTAATCCTAGAGTCCGGTTCAGCCAGCCAACGGAATGTTACTGCACGCCGCATGTTTATAGTAAAGCTCTTTTCTAGCCGTCCATATCGAGTCATATGCCTATTAGAGGCATGGAAGTTAGCAAAGCTAAAATGCTCTAAACTTCTGGTCAACTGGTGGTTGTCCCTTTCCGGCCATGGATTTCTCTGATGCCTCTCACTACTGGAGGCGGGCTCTTTGCACTCGGCAAAGCCTTTGCCAAGTGCAACACTCGGCAAAGAGCCTTTGTCGAGTGCCCTTCCGATAAAGGCTGCTTTGCCGAGTGCCAAATTTCGGGCACTCGGCAAAGGCTCTGCCGAGTGCCGTGCATGCACTCAGCAAAGATTTGACGCCGTCGGCCGACGCCGTCTAATTTTTTTAAAAAACTCTTTGCCGAGTGCCACAGCTCCGGCACTCGGCAAAGAAATCTGTTTTTTTAACCTCTTTGCCGAGTGTCACAGCACCGGCACTCGGCAAAGGCTGTTTTTTTTTAATTTTCTTTGCCAAGTGCAATGACCATTGCACTCGGAAAGCGTGTTTTTTATTTTTTTTTAATTTTCTTTGCCGAGTGCCGAGTGCAATGGTCATTGCACTCGGCAAAGCCACCTCTAAATTTCTTTTTTTTTGTTTTTTGCTTTTCCATTTAAACAACAATGCATATATATAAT